TAAAGTTGGCACCCGTAATGTAAAATTACGGTATTACGGTGTTGCAACTCATGTTGCAACAAATACAATTTGAGAAGTCAGGATTTACGGTGTTGCAACTAACCATAAAATGTTGTAATGTTGTAATGTTGCAATGTTGCAACTAACCGTAAAATGTTGTAATGTTGTAATGTTGTAATGTTGCAACTAACCGTAAATTGTTGTAATGTTGTAATGTTGTAATGTAAATATTTGTAAATAAATATTTGTGTAATGTTGCAATGATCAATCTTTCTCCCACGACCATCATTAAAGATGAGTGTTAGATGTTCTGCTACTAATAAACTTGGTCCAAAATATAGTAGTATCTGGGAATATTTTACACGTGGTGACCATCTTGGTAATGGACATTACCAAGCTACGTGTAAGCTATGTTTGTCATTTTTTAAAGATGCTCGACCATATGTTTTACGTTCTCATATAGTTTCTCAATGCCCAAAAGCATCTGAAATTATCAAAAATGAAGTAAATGAAATGATTTTAAAAGAAAATCAACATTTTCCTAAACAAACAAAAACTTCTGAACATTCTGGACAACATCGTATTGATGGTTATTTTGGTTCAGTTAATTTAGAAGAATCACGCATAAAACAAATCAATGAAGCTTTAGTTATGATGTTTATTATGTGTGCATTACCTTTCCGCCTCATAGAAAACCCATTTTTCATTAATTTTTTAAAAGCATTAAATCCTGGATATCAACCACCTTCACGAAAAGCTCTTGCTGGTCGTTTACTTGATAATGAAGTAGCACGAATTAATAAAAAAATTAAAGAAGATCTTGAACATGCGGAAAATTTAACATTGGGTAATTAATTAAATTTTAATTATAATAGTAAAAGTAATTTTACTAATAATAAAATTTTTTTAAGGCTTAGACGGTTGGACTGCACCTAATGGGAATTCAATTTGGAATTTTGTTATTATTACTTCTGAAAGAAAGGAAATTCTTTACTCTTTAGAAGATTTTTCTGCTCAATCACATACAGGAGATTTTTTAGCAACACAAATTGAGCATGTTATTAATCAAATTGGTGTTCCAAAGTTTTCTGGAATTGTTAGTGATAGTGGATCAAATGTAGCATTAGCAAGAAAAATGATTGAAACTAAACATAGGCATATTTTGAGTTTGCGTTGTATTTCACATTGTTTTAACCTTATATCTAAAGATATTATTAAACTTCCTTTTGCTAAAAAGATGGTTCGTTTCAGCAATGCTATTGTGACTTATTTTAAAAGATCTCATCAAGCTAATGCTCTTCTTAAAAAATTGATGAATAATTATAATATCATTGGTGGGGGTCTTAAAACATATATCGAAACACGATGGACATCTGTATATGATTGTGTATCATCAATTATTAGATTAAAAAAATGTCTAGAAGAGGTATTGCATTTTAAATTAATTTCTTTATATTAATATATAATTTATAATTGTATTTTAAATTTTATATATTGTATTTTTACCAATTAAAATTAGATCCGTGATGATAATAGTGAATACCTTAATGATGCTATATATAATATTTTATCTCGTCGTGGCTTTTTTGATGATGTTAAACATTTGGTAAATATTCTTGCTCCAATAAAGTCTGCAGTTTTAACATTAGAAAGAAATCAAGCAAATTTGGCAGAATGTTATATTCATTTATTGAAATGTGCCAATGCTATGAATAACTTGCCATATTGTGAATATAGAATGTTCAGAAATTTATGTATCAATTTATTTAATCAAAGGTAAATGATTTTAGTAATTAACAATTTTTTTATTATTAAATAATAATAATTATTTATTTAGTTCAATTTTATTATTAGATATGAAGAATTCGTAGATGACATTTATATACTTACATTTTTTTTACACCCGGGTTACAAAGGGAGTGCATTAAGACATGGACAATTTCATTCTCTAATTTTAAAAGCAGGAATTATTTGGCAGGGAATGGGAAAAAGTATGACGAGTTATGAAATATTAGTAACACAACTTCGGGCTTATCGTTTACAACAAGTTCCATATAATTTACCTTACGTATTTGGTAGTGATACACCTATCACATGGTGGAGTACATGCGAACCTAAACCTGCTTATATACAAACACTTGCTTTAAAATTATTTTCAATCATTCCGAATAGTGCTAGTTGTGAGCGCATTTTTTCTTCTCTAGGATACATTTATGGTAAACGGCGACAAAAATTAAAAATTAACAAATTAGAAGGATTAGCAAAAATATACCGTTATAATATTTCTAATATGGAACAAGAGATGAAACATGCTAAAAATGGTCATGATTTTTATTATACACCTGAAGAATTACAAGATATTATTCAAAATAACTTTGGAGATTTAGAAGATGACAATGATATACAAGAAATAGATTTAACAGATGAATTAAGAGACTTAGAAGCAGAAGAAAGAAATGCCTGGTCGGAGAATAATTCAGATGTAATTCTTAATGTAACAAATTTATTTGATTTACGTGTTATTGAAGAAAAGGAACGAAATGAAAATTTACTAGATGATGATGGAGATGATGATGGAGATGCAGCTGAATGGGATCCACATGAATTTTTACAGCAATTAGATGAATAGATAAAATTTTTTATATTTGTTTTGTTTTAATTACATTTAATAAATATCAAATGTTTTATAATGTTTTAAAAAGTGAAAAATGATATAAATAGAAAATTGATCTAACTGCATTGTGATTATGTTGCAACATTGTGTATAGATTTATGTAATATGCAAAGTTGTGGGTATGTTGCAACATTACAATTTGTTGCAACATTATGGTTTGTTGCAACATCACGATTTGTTGCAACATTACAATTTGTTGCAACATTACGGTTTGTTGCAACATTACGGTTTGTTGCAACATTACGGTTTTGTTGCAACAAAAGAGGCTGATTGTTGCAACATTGCAACATTTGATATTTAATTACGGGGGACAAGTTTAG